CATGTGGCCACCATCTGGTCATATACCTACGGATTCGTGGGTTCTTTTAAGTGCACAGGGTTGTGTACTGTACACTAGGGGTTGTGACAACACTGAAAGAGTCTGCACACAAAGTTGACTCCAAGGTTTTTACACCCGGTCACAGGTGGGCTCGATCTCACCTCAAGCTCGCTGGATCACTAGCCTGGCGCTTTAGCCAGTTCGCCCACCGCGCCCCCCGGTGGTTGTGCTATAATATCGCCATGAAAATCAACCTCAACTGATAATGGTGGTGGTTATCTCTTTTGGCAGAGGATAGTTCTTATGGATCACATTTGTTTATCCCAATTCATATTGTCAGTAACTGTATTTGGACTTTATTTTGATAAAGAGCGAGCTACCCTTTGAAGTAAATCATTTACATATTCAGAGTTCAGAATAATGGTACGTGACACCATTTATTAATGGAGATACATATATACGTCTGCAGCAACATCACATTGACCATGGTCCACCACATGAGTCTCCTGGTAGAGAACAGATGTTTCAGTTAAGCACAACCTTTCCACCACCTGAACCCACCATACCACGTATATACTACCTAGATTGGCATCTATACAATCAGGCATCAGCCCTTTGGCCGGTGATCGAGAATTTGCTGATGAACACCTTACTGCCTTTAAGCCAGTCAGTGAACTTCAGTTATGCAAGATTATCCAATCAATGAAAAGTAAGACTTGTTATCACGGACACCTGTAATTTGCTTAACACATCTAGATGTGTTCCAGATTCATTCAAGAAGGCCATAATCACACCTGTTCCAAAGAAAACAAACATTCATCTATCAGACCTCAAAAACTTTCGGCCAGTTTCTAATTTGATGTTCATCTCTAAAGTCTTGGAGAAAGTTGTTTCCTTTCAATTACAGTCTCACATCACCGATCACAATTTGTCAGAAGTGTACCAATCTGCCTATCGGAAAGGTCATTCAACAGAAACAGCATTAGTACGTGTTCACAACGATATACTAAGAGCTATGGATAAACAAGAAGTCGTACTCCTTGTCATGCTTGACCTTTTAGCGGCCTTTGATTCCATCAGCCATGACGTTCTTTTGTTACGTCTACGTCACACCTTTGGTATTACAGATGTGGCCTTAAGATGGCTGGAATCCTATTTGAAGGTCAGGTCAGTGCGTGTATGTGTTGACGGCTCTGCATCAAGATCAATATCAATCCAACATGGCGTCCCACAAGGATCTGTTTTGGGCCCAGTATTGTTTTCAGTATATATTCAGCCTCTAGAAGATATAATCAGGAGTCACTCACTGATGTTTCATGGTTATGTTGATGATCAGCAGTTGTATATAACCATAAAACTGACAGATGTGTCAAGTGCAGTCACAGAGATGGAACACTGCATCACTGATGTCCACAGATGAATGTGGGCAAATTGCTTGAAATTGAGTGGTGACAAGACAGACCTCATCGTTTTTGGTACTCAGAAACAGTTATCAAAACTCCCTCCTGTGAGCAATAAAGTGGATTCAGTCCTTGTCCATCATCACGGATCAGGAACCTTGGAGTAATCATGGACTGCTTGATGTCCAGTAAAGCTCAGGCACTCAAAACCGCTCAAACTGCAAATTACCATCTCAGCAAAATAGGCCAAATCCGCATGTACATTGATACGGACACTAGCAAAACTCTCATGAATTCCCTTGCCACATCAGGATTAGATTATGGTAACTCCCTCTTGTCCGGATCTACTGACATCTCGCACCTTCAACGAATCCAGAACAAGGCAGCGCGAATAACCACCCGTACTTGCCCAACTGAACACATCTCACCCATCCTAAGGCAACTCCACTGGCTTCCTGTTAAGCATCGTATCACATTCAAACGTCTTCTTCTCACGTACTCCACACTTAATGTGGACTCTTCACCACAGTATCTCAAAGACCTTCTTAATCTGTACCAGCCCTCAAGAACTCTCAGATCCTCAACCAAGCAGCAACTCTCCATCCCATCAACGTCTACTCAACTCGCTGAAAATGCCTTCTCTGTATATGCTCCTCGACTCTGGAACTCCATCCCAATGGACATCAAATCTGTGGACTCAATCCTTCAAGAAGTTTCCAAAAATCATTTTTGTTAAGCCATTAACTCTTTTCCACTGCTTTCCTCAAAAGCGCCGTTGAGCAGGCCTAGCCTGGAAATTAGGCGCTATACAAGTGAATTATTCTAAATACCCATCAACAGTTCAGACTCGCTTAAATCAATCCCTATATGTTATGTATGTACATATGGTTGCACGAGGATCATGCATCAACTTGCGGAAAATATCGTGCATTTGAACAGCTACGTTTTGGTGTAAAGTTTTGATAAAAAAATCGCCATTTTTCACCGAGTTTCATCATTTATTGAACACATGACAATTAACCTTTCAACGTCACGAATTTGTTTTACAATACATCAGCTCATGTATAAACAGTACCTTTAAACTGTATGGATTATTTTACAAAATTTAGTTCAGACCAGTTGGTTACATTTACACTAGTGAGTGTAAACCTTTGACGGGGAGTATACGAACTTTCATTCGGGAAACAAACAGCAACCCAACCGAGTGAGTGAGTGAGATCACAGTTATCGTCACATCGGCAATGTGTCAACCATATCGTGACGAGAACAATTAATTATTATGTACTGAACATCATTGAAAACGCACCACTTATAAAAGTTGAGATTATTAAAAGCACGTGTAAGGACTGATATTTTTTGAATGGATAATAACAGATGGACGACTGACAAAAACAACAACACAGAAAAAGACGCTCATTCACTGAAATGTTCCACAGTCAGAAAGGATCAAACACACGTGGGGTCAAATCGAAAAGTCAATATCGCGTGTGACCGCCATTTGCATTGACACATGCAGTTCAACGTCTCCTCATTGAGTCAATAAGCGTCCGAATAGAGTTCTTGAGGATGGCATTCCACTTCTGCAGTAGTGCAGCCTCTAGTTCCCGGATGTTTCGCATCTGTTGTCGACGCGGAATGACTTTGACCAATTTCGTCCCACCAGTGCTCCATGGGGGATACGTCCGGCGACTGTGCTGGCCAATGAATAACCTGGATGTGGTGCTGGGCCAGATACTTCATGGAAAGTCTTGTTGTGTGTGCCCATGCGTTGTCCTGTTGAAAAGAATGGACATGTTGGTGATGGTTGAATACAGATACGGTGTGATTCTGAAGAATCTGCTCACGGTAATAGAGGGCATTAACTCTCCCTTGACAGACATGAAGGCAGTCCTGTGATTGTAATTTATTACACCCCAGACCATGACACTCCCACCACCCAAAGGTCTGTCTGAACCACACACTCATCAGCATAACGTTCACCACATCTACGCCAAACACGTAATCGGCCGTCAGCATTACGTAGATGAAGACGTGACTCGTCAGTGACTACCACACCATGCCATTGTTGTAACCTTTACTGAAAATGCCTGCTAGCCCATTGTACACGCTCATTACGGTATCTGTTAGTCAGAATTGGTCCAACGTAAGGACGTCGAGCATGGAGCCTTGTAGCGTGTAGACGGCGTCGCATGGAGTCAGCGCTGATGACCCCCACGTCAACCTTGAACTAGTGCAGCAGTCCTGGCAGTCGGCAGTGTTCAATCACTGATATGGACAAGGTCAATATGGCGATCCTGATGGAGCGTCGTAACACGTTGTTGCCAAGGTCATTGAAGGTCACGGGTGCTGCCTGTCTACTGATGTCGTCTATGAAGCCTAACGATGGTGGAGTGGCCAAGTCCAAGTTGTCGAGCTATATCCCTGCTGCTGGTGCCAACCTGAATCATGTATAATGCACGTTCTCTTTCGTGAGGTGCTCACCTCGGCATCTCTGTCCTCGTTTCACAATCGTTAGTGAAGCAATGAAAATCTGTTCTCATACACCTGCTTTTAATGTCACAGTCAGTATGATTTCAGAATGAAATTCGCACTTTTTTCATGGCGTGGCTGCATGTTGATGCATTTTGGCATTAAGAGTCATACTGTGGACAGGAATTTGTTTCTAAAGCATTTTTTCAACTGGACATGCCCTTCGACTTCATGTTAGTTATATTCATTGATCATTGTCATGCTGAAATCCACCTTGATGAAAATATGGACAATGATGTTCAGTATATTAGAAATCAATAAAATTAGAAATTTAAAACCTGTCTAAAACTACTAGTGTATCACAGATATCAAAGTAAAACTAGCATGAAACACACAAGACGATATCATTAAAGAGAACAATGCAATATAAAAACAGGCTATAGATTGCCAACAACTGAAGGTAGATCACCATACTCGAGACCATGGGGACTTACAGTACATTTGCTTCCTTCATAGATTCTGGCTGGATTTACATCATCCCCTCAGCTGTTGGCATATTTAGACAAACTAGCCATACATTAAAATGACACATATTCTACGATTAAATAATTGGGAAAATTAAATGTATTTTGAATGTTTTGGGACTTACGTACCCTCTCAGGAGCACCCCAAACGAACAGAAGTGAGTACTCAAGCATCATTAGGCCATACTATCCACTCGCTGCCCTATGTTCGATACAATTCCCGATTTTGTCTTGTTCCATAATAATGTTACAAGGCTCATTTTATTTTCTTGTTTTTTTGCCTTGTCTCAGGAATGTGACGAACCGTTAGGCAGGATTCTATCACTTTAGCTGGAAAAGAATTATGCTCTCTGAGTCAAAATATGTCAATACAGTCGTTGAATAGAAAGTTATCCACATTTTATATATCTAAGACCCGGAGCTAACATCATTGATTGAACATGTACCCATTAGAACTCGGGTAATTACAGACAGGTAATTGAGATCGGCATATCAGGTACGAAAGAATAGTTTGATCAACTGTTTGTTTTTCTCCAAGGAAACTTGCAAACAGAAAGCTAATAACCATTGAAAATGCATCTAGTTATCTGCTTATCTGCAGCTCGAATAGATGATAGCTGAGGATACGGTCATCACCTTTCCGTTGAGACTTGTTCGCTTACTGATTCCATATTCGAGATGAACATTTCCCTATGGGAGAAGCGGAATACAAGTCTGTATTAACAGTGGATTTTATTACATTCTTAACATAGGCATGAAGATGAGATTCAGCATCAACATCATTTCAGGTAAATATATTAATTACATTACAGTTTCATACCATCACCTAACACTTTGGAAATGGTTTCTTCAAACTGAGTTTGTCCATACGCACGTTTCGTGGCCATGATAGAACACATTTAGATTGTTTCATGAACCGTCTGTGCTCAGAAGAACAGAAAAAAACAGTTATCCAATTTGAACTGAACACCTTCATCCCCTGCGACTTGTTGAGTCGCGCCAGCCTCAAATACTTTGTTTCACATTCAGGCTGGTGCAAAAGTAAATCTCGTAGTTGATGTCATGTTACTGAAGTTCAACTACCTATGGGCTCGCCACTATCACCAATCCTCACTGCGATATATATGTCAGACCTTGAAGAGAAAGCCCTCCTCACATCACCTGCCGTTAATGTACGTCCTATGGGCCTGTGGCCTTTGACTTGAATGAATATACATATTACAACATTCTCGCTACAAACCAATCAGACTTTACCAAACGCAAGATAACTGAAGGAATTAACATCAAACGATATAGACCCTTGATTAATAGCGCTCAAAGCTACTTTATTCCCATTGCTTACCATGAGCTCTTAGATCAACCCTAGCCCCCTGAACGAGCACTCTGCTCTCTGTGTAATACTGGCTACCACCGGCTTCTATGTATATCCCCATAATCCTCTGTTACCCCTTTATGTGTTATCATCACGTTGTCAATCTCGTATACATTCTGCTCTCTGTGTATCACTTGCTTTCACTGGCCTCTGTTTATCCCTGTAATCCTCTGATCTGGTGTCCCCCGCCGTGATGTTGCTGGAATATTGCTGAAAGCGGCGTAAAACTATACTCACTCACTCACTCACTGTAATCCTTTGTTATCCCTTTATTCGTTATCATTATATTGTTGTTTTCGCCTCAACCTTGTTAATTAGTCCTCTGTTGTATATATACCACCTGTACTCTCCCTGTACCATTCATACTTGAAAACGCTACAAGAACCTGAATCGAAATGTCGTGTTCTAGAATAAAAGAAGTTGTCATCCATATATATACTCTCCCAAAAAGGATACGCATATAGGAATTTCAACTGTATTTTTATGTTTATTTTAAAACATCTTGTAGGCTTTATGAGTTAATGAAATATAGCGAAATTGCACACTGGGAATGCAGACTTATCCGTCTGTGGCACCAACTCGAGGAAAGTCAGTTTGAGTGTCACAGGGAGACGTGTGGTGGCGCTGAAGTCAATACCTCGTGTGACCACCGTGGGCATCCAGAACTGCACGGCATCGCCTCGGAATCGAACGAATAAGTCTCAGAATCTCGTGTTGCCCAATCGCAGCCCACTCTGCCTGTAGTGCATGTGCGAGTTGCTGAAGTGTCTGGGGCTGAGGGTTACGGCGTCGCACCCGTCTGTCCAGGGCATCCCACAGATGTTCGATCGGGTTTAAGTCCGGTAATCTTGAGGGCCAGGGGAGCACATTGATGTTGTGGTTCTGGAGGAAGTCTCTAGTGTGACGTGCTGTGTGGGGCCTGGCATTGTCCTGTTGAAACAACTCCCTCTGGCGATCAATGATTGGAAGGAGGTGTGGGCGTAGGATTTCGTCACAGTACCGTTGAGCTGTCAGGTTGCCCTGGATCATCACCAAATCACTTCTCCTACGGCAGGTGATCGCTCCCCACATCATAACACTGCCCCGGCAGAATCTGTCCACCTGGGGAACGCAAGCGTCGGCGAAACGTTCACGTCGACGTCTGTACATCCGCATTCTTCCATCGCGGCGTTCCAATAGAAATCGTGATTCATCACTGAACCAGATTCTACGCTAATTCGGTAGGTTCCAGGCCTGAACGTTGGTGGACCATTGTACTCGATGTCGACGATGTTGTTGTCGAAGCACAAAATAAGGTCTTCTGGCACGTAAACCAGCCTCTAACAACCTGTTCCTGACGGTCTGTGCAGCAAGTTTCCTCAATCCGGGTATTTGTCGAGCGGTACTGGTCGCCGTAGCTGTTCGATGACGCAGGTGATGTACCCGGATGTAGCGATCCTGCGCCGCAGTGGTCGCTCGAGGTCGCCCACTACGAGGGCATCTGCTGCCGCATTCTGCCGGCGATATCTCTCCAAGAGCCGTGAAATGGTGCTTTGGTGAACATTCATGCGTCGGGCAACTGAACGTTGAGACTGGCCAGCTTCAAGCAAACCAATGGCGATATGACGGTTGGCTTCACTTAGACGTGGCATTTGGCGTTCGTCAACAATATTCCAAATACAGTGAATAATCGACAGACAGCGATCAACCTTTTATACCCATCATTGAGACTATCTGATCCCCAACTTTCACGTCCATTGCATGTGAATTGTGTATACTGTGACACTACACGCCGAAATTGAAAATCATGCTGTTAAATACGGGTATTTTACGGATGGTGCGTTTTGTTGTGATGTTTCAAAACATAAACACCTCAGGACTCATAAACAGAGCAAAACATTTTGTAAAATGAATCACGTTTTACTTCATTGCTACATGAAATTGCTATTTTCATTATGTGTTTCTTTTTTGGGAGAGTATACTTGTTCTATCTGATTTCGAACTTCAAAAATGCCACTCAAAGAAGTCATGGGTGGAGATTGTTTGGTATCTCGACTCTACAGATCATTATTTATACAGCTGGAACATTGCTAATGAAGGTTTCTGCAACCGTTTTTAAATCGACCTCAAATGTCACAACGCAATCGCTTTGTACATGGCAGATCAATTACGGCGATGTGTCTAGGACTAATCAATGGCGTCACTGGAAGATCATGCACAAAACTCGATATTCCTTCTTCGGCAATGTTATCTGTGTAGTGTAAGTTGATTAAATGTATGCCTAATCATGTAGCGTGTAAAAGAGTTGAGATATTGACGACTAACGATGTGAAACGTCGTCATGTCGACACACAGCTTTGACAACAACACAACAAGGTTATTTATATTTCGCCTCAAACGTCAAACCTATGACATGTGACCGCCTCCGTGGTGTAGTGGTTAGAGCGCCCGCCCGGAGAGCGGAAATTCGCGGGTTCGATCCACGACCGCGTCATACCAAAAGACCAAAAGATGTTAAAATATGGTACTTATTGGTCCCTGCCTGGCGCTCGGCATGAATGGGTACAACAAGGACTGGTCAGCTCGGAGTCAGCATAATGTGTCTGAATTGGGTATTCATGTTTCACTGCGGCATGGTATCTCAGTGGGATAGCACTATAAAACCAGCTTAAGTCTGGGCTAGTACAAGCAGCCGCACCTACACATACACACGCATGCACGTCGTAATATAAGCGAAATATTCTCAAGCACGACGTTAAACCCAATTTCACCTCACCTCACCTCAGCTATGACATGTTCAAGCTATAAAGAAATGTGAGGGCACGAGGAATGAAACAGAAGTGTGTTGGGTACAAGTTCTGTTGCAACACTCATATATTTAATTCAAAGAGTTTAAGGATTTCTGTTACAAATTGTGCCATCTGATATTCTTCTAGGCTTTTAGTATTGAATAAGATATCGAGTAATATCGCATTGGGTCTTGTAAAGTACGTCCTGTGAAAATATGCTATATACAGACCATGTTAACTGATAGTGATATTCGCTAGTTTGGTCACAATTATTACAGCGAGAACAAATTCTGTCGTCCAGTGGTATATTTTTCCTCTTCTGTACGTAATCTATGATAAGTTGATCGTATTTCAATGATCAGGGTTTAAGCTTATTGGCCAGTAAGTAGGTTATGGCACTTCGCGAGACCCGCGACAAACAACGGTCTAGTAAAGTCGTATTTGGCGGTCGCGCAATTTGGAACCAGAACTAGCTCTTGAATATACGCTGGTCACTGGAAATCCATTCTCTTCCCACAGAGGTTACTTGTCATATCTTCCTACGAACCTTTGTTCTAATATGGCCCTTTCGTGGTGCGAGTGTTCAGGATTCGTGATTGGTTGCAATCAGATTTAGTTGTGCAATCAGCGACGTTGTTTCAAAAGTGATCATTCGCAAGGTCTCGGCAATTTCCGTATGCTTCGGGAAAACTAGAACCTCTTCCCCTGCGCACTCAGTCATGTAATAGCGGATCAATGGCGTCTCCCTCGCCCTCGTTGACAATGGACAATCTAGCCATTAAATGCCTTGTGTGTCACATCAACACAAGTACCCGGCACAGGAGGGATGTTTGTGGCCCCATTTTTTCTTGTATTAGTCAGGTTGGATCTAAGTCGATGTTACACGTGTTCTGATTGGATAGACAGAAGGGAGATAATTCGTGTTGCGATTTTTTGCCACTAGGTGATTTTACGAGAACTGGGAAATATGGCCGTATTAGAGCAGAGGTTCGGAGGAAGATATGACAAGTAACCTCTGTGGGAAGAGAATACTGGAAACCTGGAACCGGAAGTAAGCTGGGCCCCCGCCTCGCATATCGCAAGTTGGTGCGCGCAAAGGGAGCCGGGAACCAGCTTAGTACCTGGAGTAAAGCCTCGCGAGACGTACAGGCCCTGTAGCTTTCTGTGTTTTATATTCACTTTAACGGTAGAGTACTGTTAGTGTTGTCCATTACACTTTTCCAGGTTCTTCGTCTGGCTCTACATATCAATGAAACCTTGTTCAGTCACACTTTTCAAAGTGCCTGATCCATCAAATTAACTTTGACATATTACACCCAGTTATATTTATGTTTACAAGAGTCTGTAGACAACAGGTCAGAAACAACACTTTGCAATGTCGTTGGTTTAATGGTTATGTTATCATAGAACAAAATATCAGCATTGTTTGTTTAATTATGTCACTATTGCTTTATTAAATAATAACTGACAGTCTATAGGTATATCAAGATTATCTATGCTAATACTATATAATAAATGCATTGTTCTTTAGATTGGCAGTCTATAGGTAGATAGGACAACTTAAAATGATGAACAACTTCTTTATTCAGGTGAATATACAAGTTGTTCATCCATAGAGTTTATCCTTATCTGATTCACCAACTTCTAA